TATCAGAGATTTTCTGATCGCGATAACACTTCACTACTTCCGGGAGATGGGAGAGTGGAATATGGGAAAGGGGCTGTGAAAAAAGGTCTGTAACCGCAGAACGCCATATCGGAATTTTCTCTGGGCTGCTTTTCAGTTTTTCACGCTACGCTGCGAGTTTTCCAGCTCACCATTTTAATGGGCATGAAAAAGCCGAACCACTCGATACGATACGATACCATATACCATACCATACGATGCGGTCCTTTCCTATCAAGCATACACATAATAAAAAACATAGAAAACAAGGAACCCTCGTACGCCAATTACGATTTATTTGTCCGCTCTGAAGTATGGAGGTAAATAAAGGGCCTAACCCCGATCCTACCTCTATCAAAAATGCTGTGCATTAAAAACGCAACGATCTGTGGTCGCGTTCCACCTTATCGAGCACTTTCGTTGTGGTTGTGGTTGATTTCTGTGCATAAATTTGTTCGTTGCGGCTCGGAAAAACCGGGTCACACTTCGCTATCACAAACTGGCATTTTGTCACGTTTTTTATGGTGCGTTTCGGTTTCCTCCAGCATTTTTCCAGCGATTAAGTGTATCATGCATCCAAATATGCTCATTTAATGCGCACTTGGTCGTGGTCTTCGTAGTGGACTTGCTCTTGGAATCGAATCGGAATTGAAGTGGAATTCTCTTTTTAGTAATTGCCGTGCAGGAAATTAGTTATTCACATTGTGTTGTGCTTAATTTATGCATCGCTATAATTGTTTGTGCTGCTGGAAAATCGTTTTCATTGTTCGTGTGCGGGGAAAAACGAAAAGTTCTCGTTAATGTGGGCGTTATCGGAATCATTACGTAGAAGGAAAAAGAAAACAAACACTGTGGATTGGGGGAAAACTCCACATATTTGATATGTAACGAAACGTGTGAGAAATTCCCAAAATCCAGCGGGCTTTTTTATCGCAAGAAATATGATTGGGCGGTGCCGGTGGGAAAAGTAAAGTGAAAGAAACTTTGATAAATGACTGATTGATCGGGAAGCGCTAACTAAGGGAATCTCGGTTTTCCCGGGGGCAGACACTAAAACCATGTCAAACAAAATTATCGGCGAGACAAGTTAATGTCCTCTAAAAAATGAATAACGCAAGCTTACCGCCTCTTGGAGGCTAAATCAAAACAGAAATTAACAACAAAAATTATTCAAAATGCTATGCTGTCTCGCCCCAACCCCCCAAAAATGAAAACCCAAAATGATTTATGACAAGGGGGCGGGCGAAAAAAGGGGGAAAAACGAAACGAAAACCGAAACAAATAAAACGAGAACATTGAAAATCAACCAAAACGCAAAGCGCAGCAATTAAAAATCCGTTGAACTTGCCGGCAATCGTAAACCAAAACTGAAGAATACTGAAAATGGGAAAACGCAAGATCCAAAAATCCAGTGCCCCAGAGGCTTTGACAAGAGCAGAAAACAATTAAACTACGATTTAATGGTTTTCACACATAATTCTGGGGCTTGTATAAAATAAAGGATTACCAGAGAACCCAGAAACACTTCACTCGCATTTGGAGTTCCAGAATTCCAGACCACCCCTAACAAATCATTTATAAACATAATTGCTGGAGTCACTTGAGAATCGGGTTAAAGATAAAAGATAAATGTGGAAAATCTTAAAGGAAACAAAGGCGCCGCAGGCCAAATGTTCTTTTTTCAATGGGAAAGCCCCACGGAATACTTTTTTTTTTGAAAATAACGATTTGAGTGGCTTTTCCACCAAACAAATTGTTTTTCGCCGCATATCTATAACTACGTTTTTAACACTTGCCATCGACCTCCAGCAGCTCAGTGGGAAACCAGCTTGGGCTTGTCTTTTGTCAATAAATATCATTTTATTTCCTTTTATTTTCTTTACGCGCTGCGACTATAAATTAAATCAGGAAAACGCAACGACCTGAACAACAATAACAAACAGGGAACCGAGAGTTTTCTTGTAGGCCATTTATTGCTCTCAATAATGAAGCCATTACATTCCGTTGAGGGGGTGTTATTGTAGTCAATGCTTAAGTGCAAATGGCCATTAAAAACAATTTAAGGGGCGGATCACCATTCTCGGCAAAAGCATTTAGAAATATTGCAAATTACTGCAAATAATTGACAAACATTAAGTGCCGAGTGAAGTGGCGGTGGAAAGTCGAGTTGTGGAAAGGCAACAGCTGGCAAAATTTACACAACATTCACTTGGAAAAATCAAATGTTCTTGTGTGAATTCCCGACTTGAAATTGATGTTATTGTGATGACAAATCAACCTCAGAGATGGAAAAGCTTTCTATCTAATGAAACTGCAATTCACACAGGAGTTAGAAGGCGGTTTTCCCAGCTGCCAATGTCAGGGGGTTGCACTTGATTTATGTACGTACTCTTTCCTTGGGAGTCCCGAAAGTGCTTTCTCATCGATACCATACAATGGGATATTTCATTAAATGCTGCAACCGAATTCAATTTTCGCAACTGTTGCCAAAATATCAGCTTAGCTAAGTGGAAGGTCGCCGGGCTGAGGGGGTGGTGATTTGTGCAGAGCGGAAAATTTGAACATTTGTTAAAGCGACTTATTAATGTTATAATCTAATTGTGATTCCCTTTGGCCCCGGCTTTGATATCCATAAAAAATTATTTGTTCAGGAGGGTCGACAATGCGGGTAATATTTCCCGTGATCAGGGGTAAAAATATCCAAATATAGGATTAATAGTAAGCTGCCATGCGAGTCACAAAAAAGGGATTTTAGTTTTACCACTTGCATGATTTATTAAGGTAGCCTCACAGGTATTAAATGCAGCTGTCCGAAAACTCTGCAAACTTCAAAAAAAAGAAAACTGTTCCAATTAATTGGAAGCCCATCCTGATTTGGGTAGGAGCCACAAAACTCTTGACGACAGGACTTCTCCAGCCACCGATGCAAGTTTCATCCTTCATCCTTCCGAAGCGCTAATTAAGTAAACAAAAGGGGAAAACCTCTGAAGCCAAACCGGAGCAGCTCAATTAATAATAAAATGCGAAAATGGGAGCAAGCCAAGCGCAGCTAGTAAACAAGCCACAAAAAAACTTGAACTCATAATTTCCGGAGGTGCTAATAAGTTGCAAAATTATTTTCAATGAAAATGGCTGCGGGAAAATGGGAGGGCGGGCATAAAAGTTGCCAGGGCAGCCACAAAGTATAAAAAATTGACTTCAATTAAAGTGCCATAGTTGCCTGTATAAACAGCACACGGAAAAATGAAAAGCGCAAAACGAGAGAGAGCCAAAAGGATAATGATAATTACGGCCAGTCATGGCGAGGGGCTGGGAAAACCGGGGGCGGGGCTGGCGGAACTTTGGTTCCGACTGCTGAATGAGACTGCCAACTTTTTGTGTTTATTTTATGCTCGTGCACAAAAAGAACCAGAAAAGGACGATGAAAGTTTCAATGTAGTGCGGCTGATAGAGGTAAAAAAATCCATACCAGGCTGGCGGAAAATGCATCCCAAATGGGTGGCTATACGGCTATAGAGCAGCTACATACGATTACGAGGACGTTAAACAAATAAGCAAAGGGCAATGTGTAAAAACAGCACAGAGGACACAGAGGCAAATGTAGAAGCCAAATGTGGAGCGCGCTTCATTGACACACACAGTTGCACACCTCCACAGACAAGGACTCATTCAGGACACACGCCTGGGATCAAAATTATAGTAGTGCTCGCCACATCCTATCCCTTAAATGCGATAGGAAACAAACGAAATCAATTGGAGTGATTTATGAACATTTTGAATAAGTGATCTGCTTTTTCAATGCCAGGACAGCATATCATATTTTACGATTTTTCTTACGGGTGATATAAAGTTGACCACAGCTATAAGAACTCCTCCTGTCAATAAAGAAATGAAGAGTCAAACGTCTGCTGGGCTCCTGTCGCTTTTTGCTGCCACAGCCGCTCCTGATGCTGATGCTGATTCAGAATCCGAATCTGCTCCTGATTCTGCAGCTGCTTCTTTGGTGGCCAAAATGAATGACTCGCCAGCGGGCCAAGTTCCCCGCTCCGTCTTCACTTTCCGCCCCATGGAGCAGTGGCGCCACCCCCAGCAACCGAACAACCACCCAAACCACCCACTGGGGACTCAACTTGTTGAGGAGTGACAGACCCACTCACTGGCCCGCTCGTCCGCTCACCAAATCACTCACTCGCACACCGAATGAATGGAAGACTGACTGACTGACTGACTTTCCTACCCTCAAGGTTCATCGTCAGTCCGTCAGTCACTCAAACTCGCATTTCATTCCATTTCCATTTCATTCACTTTGCCCGCTGCCCAAAACAGCCTTGTCTCGTCTTTCCTTTCGCTGCTTCTTTTTGTTTCAGTGTAGTTTCCGTTGGTTGTAGTAAATTTTTCTCATTTCGCTTTTTGTTGGAGTGGTTTTCATACCCAGTATTGATAGCGCAGACGGGTATGCTGCATACGAAGAATTACGCATAAGAGGAAAGACATTTTCGAGCCTAAAGGTTTTCCAACTATATCAAATTATAATATGAACTTATTTTGAAAAACTTTAAGATGACTTTTCAGGATTCGAAAAGGCAAGCTATACATTTTGGTATGCCACTTCATGTGCTTATATATTAACAATAAAAAGCAAAAGAGATGTATTGTTTAAGCGCCTCAATGTAGGCTACATTTTACCAGGTATCTCAAAGTCGACTTGTCTCACTTTCCGGTTTCTACGTCTATTTGCGCTGTTGCTGTTTTGAGTGTTCCACTGCTCTCGTGTGTGTGTGTGTGTGAGTGCTTTGAGGACGGCAAATGAAGAAAACCAACTCACACAAGCACACCGAATGAGAGAGGCATAGAGTGAACTAGCGGTAAATGCATGAACAACGCCGGCTTGCCTGTCATGAAATTTGTATTTGTATCTCAGCGGCTGTTGCTGCCCTCGTTCCCTCCCATTCTGCCGCTCTTTCTCCTTTCACTCTCTCTCCCTGTTACACTCACCCCCGCCCGACCACCGCAACACACCGCTTCTTCCTCTTCTTCTTCTGCTTCCACGCTCTGCTCTGCGTCTCGTGCTCATTTTCCGTTGTACTTTTTCGATGCAGTCGCCCCGTGGATTTCATTCCCTCTGCGCACTTCGAACCGATCGCTCGTATCGCTCCCGGGACTCGAACTCCGAATACGAATTCGACTTCGAAACGAACCTATAACCGAAACTCAACACTCGCCGGACTTCGACTGCGATTCAAATTGCATTTACGCGCTAAGTTATTGAATTCTCTTGAAGGGCGCATAAAGTTCTTGAAATTACGACTTTAGCATATTGTGCTTGTGTTTAAAGAGCGAAGTGTAAACGAACCGTGGAATAATCATAACATCTGAGGAAAATGGGTCGCCTGTTCCAATACAATCGCTTCGGCGCCACGGATGGCATCAACAAAAACATTAGCAAAAAGGATACTCAGCAGAAGAACAAGATGGTAAGAGACTTAGGATCCCTCACTTTGAATAACTGTTATGCGTTTTAGTTTGGATTTTTGAAATCATTCTTTTATTTTATTAGTTTGAAGATGTTTAATTCATCGGTTCCAAAGACTCGCTTAATTCGAATTCATTTTCCTTTTAAGACTTTTTGGGTGCTTAAGGCAGACCAATACACAACTACGCTAAGTCAGTTTACATAAACCATCCAATTATAACTGAGTCATAGACTTTTTAGCATAGACAAGCAGCCACATTAAAAATATTTTTAAATCCTTCAAGTTTCATGAGAAAGTTCTTCCGTATCCCCAATACATCTCCATAAATATCCATGCCCTTGATGACTCAAGCTGATCTGGTCTCTGTAGAATATAAGAATCTATGCACATTTCACACACCCCACACACCATCGAAATTACCACTTTGGGCAACCCACGCACACTTAGCACTATCTACAGTGAACTCCCCAACACGTCGACCAGTGGAGGGGCGAAAACGGGGCATGGCCGTATTCAAAACACGAACGACAACAATTAAAATGATTTAGTGCCACAGATACCACGAACAACAACACGGCCACACCAAACCAAATACAACAAGAACAATGAAAGCGCAGCATAATAAACTCGACTGTCGACGTAAATCAGTGGAACACTAAATCACATAGGGCCAAATAAATATGATTTGCATAAAAACTAAATCAAAGTATATATGCAAACAGAGGGCGTTCGAAGGGGGCGGCGATAGTAAGCGACCTAAGCCGAGCGTAAATCTGAATTCAAATAAATCAAATTGTAAATGCAGCCTGATTTCTGGCGATAAGTAGAGCAAACAACAACGAAGCCCGATTCGGGAATTGAAATCAAAACATATGTTGGCCCCATAAAGATAGTGATTGATTCGATTTGACAAAATGCATTTCTATATGCAAACATAGCGCATATGTTATTTGTTTTTGATTCGAGATAAGCGCTAACTAGGCTTTACCGTCTAGCCGCGATGTCCCAAAGGCGATAGGCCTTATAGCGATAGCTTAATTAAGACAAACTGCCTTTCCAGCTACCTGAATGCAAAGTCAACTTTTCTTCCAGACCGCAGCTACTTTGCTTCACTAATCTCCTTATTTGACTTGGCATCCGTAGATGCTGCACACACTCACAGATAAACAGATACACAGATACAATGGCATTTATAACAATGCTCCGACATCTGAGCAGCATTTATCAAAATATTTGTTTAAAAGAACCACGACGAGCGAGCCGAGAGAAAAGTTTGTAATTTTAAACTGAATGACAGTTTGCGTTTTGCCTCCGCCTCTGCCTGCTTTTATGCCGACCTTTGCATTTTTCATCCAGTCATTTTTCACTGGAATTGACACCCATCGCCTTCTGTATCTCGTCTCTTTGGATTCTCTTTGTTTTGATCTATGAAAATCCATCTTCTTCGGTCTCGCATTCAATTTTAGGTGTAGGTGTTGGTTGTTTTGGCTCCCAAAAGGATTGTCTTTTGAAACGGGAAGTCTGGGTGTGGCCGCAACGGGAGTTGTTTTACCAAGAAGACTCGAGGCCCACAAAAGACTACTTCAAGCTGAAAGTGCAAGAATGCGTCCTCTTACATCCCTTAGATCTCCGAGTATAAATCGCTCGACACCTCCCCGAAAGCCCCACCGCATCCGTTATCAAAATCTATTACCAGACACACTCTGTTTACAGAGCCAACTGGCTGTGCTGACAAACGATTTCAATTAGCCGGTTCGCAACAGATAAAAGACATCTCGCCTATCGCGGGTCAAAGATACAAAACGGAATGGTCACGAGCTGCAGAACCGACAAATTCATATATCGCGAGGGACCAGAACTAATAAAATTGTCACACAACTGTCGGTTCTGTCGGAATCCATTGACCATATGCTGTCTGGTTGGAGGGAACTACAACCATATTGCTAGATTAAAATCGGAGACAATTAAGTCGGAGATGATAAAATCGACTTTGTAGCAGTTTTATTAAAGTGAACTGCGCTCGAGGGGCTTACTCTGCCCAAGGGTTTATGAAGAGGAGATTATTCCACGGATAAGTATTTGATTACATTTCATTAGGCAGGCACTTTTTAATTAATTAATGAAAGGGAAACTTTTTCAAACTCATTTCATATTCTGCTTCAAGCGTAACAAACATTTATCAGAGCAGTAACATGACCCATCTGCATCTGATATGATTAAAAAAGCTCAGGGAATGTGAAAAATATTTAAATAGCAGAAAAGCACCATCTATCACACAATTAATAATATACGGAAAGACATTTGATAAATTCAAATTATAATTTTAGCCTAATGATGTTTAATAATTTGTTGTAAAATATTCATCATTAGTTATACTTTCCTAACTAATACGGGCATGCAAATACCACAGTTTGTGTTTGGAAAATTCAAAAATCAGTTTCCGCATAAACCTTCCTGAACAGACAATGGATTCAAGCGATTCGTGCTGGGGAAACCAGGCCGAAAGCATTTTCCTCCTCGTGTGGCTTATGATGCCATGCTCTGGTGCCTTCAACGCCCTGCCTAAGTGGATTTCCTCGAGTGTAGAGATGCCGTGATGGGCCTCATAATTCTCGATGAGATGCAGCTAAAATTAAATCAACTGCTGGCGACGATTAGCAGCAATGAGCTGAGGCATTCAAATTCTAAGGCATTTTAATGCACTTTTCCCGAACAACTCGGCTCTGGCCGCCCTTTCAAGGGCAGTGATTAATGTTTATTGGGATGCTCGTGTTCTACACATGTATTTACATGGAGACTCTTTGATTTTTCGGGGGACCCTGGAGAGAGTACGCTAAGGATAGAAAATTAATTGCACCGCTTTTAAGTGCATTTAATTAGGAATTTCCAAGCAGACGCCTTGTTCACAATGCCCCAAGATTTATTGGGGGAAACTGCAATCTGCAGGCTGCACAAATTGATGAGCATAATTAAATAGCCGGCGACTGCATTCGACTTGCATGCAATGTAATTTATGCTCCATATTTTGCCCAACTACCGAATGGCCCCGTCGCTTTGAGTAAACAACAATTTCACTTATTTTCATGCCGTCTGCCGCCTCGACCATCAACTGTCTGCATTGTTATTTTTACGCTCGACTCAATATAAATTTTCGCCCCTCTTCGTTTTGTTCGCCACATGCCACGCCATGAAAATGTAATGCAAATATGCAAAAAAGCTTTCAACGGTATCCGAGCTGCCCAACCCTCAATATCTCTTCTTTTTCAGCTCCTAGCCCTGTTCCCCCGCCCAAACTCCTCTGGCTACAAATAGTTTTTGGTTTTGGCTTAGTCTGGCCATCAGCCCGCAACAGAGAACGGAGTACTCAGTACTGAGTACTGAGTACCGAGCACCGAGAAGCTAGCCAACATCATCGTTATCACCAGCCCGTTGTCCGTATTTGAGTTTCATATGGCTTCCCACCAAGGATTTGTGTGCATTAGACGACTAGACTCGGGAAAACTATTTGCAAGCCCAGTTACTAGACTTTCCACACACAAGAGCCGACGTATTGGAGTGGTAGAAAAAGTTGTCAGAGTCTCTAATTAAATTGTTCACCATCTCTCAAAGTGATAAAGTCCAAGGGTTCATTGCCTGCTCCTCAAAAAATGTAAAAAACTTGAGATTCATCTCTTGAACAACCCACGCACCAGAGAAGAAACCCCAAAGCGATGTGCCCATAAAACGCAATTAAAATTTCAACAATTTTCATTTGCATTTAATAAACCCATCAAAACGGTTTTTAAACACGCATAAAACAAACGGTTGAAAAGAAACAACTTAATTCGATTCACATTTCAATAAATTTTTATGTGACCCAATTTTTTACACCTCTAAAAATGCCACAGGAAAATGAAACAAAGGGAGGCCCATAAAAAAGCCAATGCCACACGCCACATGTGTCTAAACAAAGGATTTTCCAGCCAAAGGCAAGCTAATTGTAATAAAAAATTTACAAAACATACCAAAAAGCTGAAACTATAAACATTTTTCCTGGCATATAAAACTAAATTAGTGAGAAAATCATTTTACGAGCCCCAAAAACGAACTCGTTTAACCAACTAAAAGAAAAGCCAACTCACTCAAAAACCGAATTTTTTCGTTCATAGTGGCAGTTGGGGGAGAAATGTGTGCGGGACGTGTTTTAAAAAATGTCATAAACTACTCGTAAGTCCATGTATCTCTGACATTTTGAAAGCCCCGACACGTGTGTCCGTGCTGGGATCACTTTGAGTTTCTTTTGGTGTGGCATAAAACTGTCAAATTAGCTGGAACTAAGAGCGAGATGACTACAAAATATTCCGAAACGCACGACTAATGGCCCGCAGTCAAATGAAATATTACTAATTTCGATAGCAAAATGTCTTAAGGAATTTTAAAAAAATTCATTGATACAGTTGGTGCCACATTTTTTGAGTGGGTGGTGTATTTAGGGGGTGGCAACTGAATGGGAGGAGTTTTGTTTTGGCGGCACAGCTGCTTTGGCAATTGCCCAATTTGTGAGCGGATAAGTAGCCGGTTAGTCGGTTATTGCGGTTGCAATTTAAAAGCCACCAGTTTGCCAGTGGAAACCACTTCCGAAGGTGGAAAATTGTGGGCTGCTCGAGTGGTAGGGTGGTTTTTGTTTTTCAAGACCCTTCAGCAGCTGCTTGATTTTCCAGAGCGAGCTCAAAAATTCAGGCATATGTCGGTGGGACCTCAAGTGGCGCACAAAGGAAACATTTCAATAAATTCATCGACTCACTCCGGGCACTTCAACTAATTTCTGTACCCCCTCTATCTAAATGCACAATAAATGAAAATTTAACAACTGTTTTTATAAGACCTTAAGGGAGAAGACCAAGGGTCCTCTACCTACCTTCTTGTCCGTCAGCTGTCGAAGGTGCCTCGATTCGGTTACCTGAGTTTTATTGTAACACATTTTGATTACGAAAATATGCTAACACCTCGCTGGCCAAACAAAAGAGCTCTTTGGCCAAGAATGGAATGGAAAGCCGGCCCGGGGCGCTGTTTCATCATCAATTAGAGCTCAACCTTTCCGCAGGGCAGGATCGGAATATAAAACCAATTGGGTCGGGGGGATAGACCTATGATTATTGCATTAGCACGAACACCATCAAAGATGAACAGGGCCAGCACGCCAACACCTTTGAGCCACTACTGTGTGCTGGATTTTATTTCGATCCCAATTTTCTTTGGGCTCTATTATCATTGAAATTACCGCACTGTTCCCTTTTCTTTGGCTTGACTCGGACTGGCCTTGCATAAATTAAAACTCATGTAGCTGGCAAGAATCGTAGCCATTAAACGCTTGTTGGCCCATTGTGTTTGATTTAAGCCGATAAAAGGTACACTTTTGAGGCATTTCACGCCGCTTTTACCCCACAGTCGAAAAAAACAACTTTCAACAGATTTATGCGCTGCGTGGCCACATCAAAGAAAACTCTTTTGGCCATGGCTCGTTGGCCAGGAATTAATGGTCAACTGGCCAAGACGTAGCAACAGTTTTTGGGGGGCCTCTTCATGTTTGTTCACATACAAACAAGATATTGGAAATGCAAATCAATGGGGATGGCCTGCAACGGAAGTTCTATGTCTGCACTTCCTTTGTTTGCGTTCCCAAACCACTAATTTATTGAATGTGTTGAATTATAAAGCCCCCAGCTACTCCCAATCGAATTCAATTTCGTAATCCCACTTCGAACTCTACCTGGTCGTCGGATTTCCATTGTGTCCTGCTCTCCTTTTCAATCGATTGCTCATTATTTTGCCATTTTTCCTTCGAGTGTGTGTGCGTGCTGAAGGGTGCAATGAATTTTCGGTTCACAATGCACAAAACGAGGGGTGAATCTGAAGGGAGTAGAGTGCTATTGCACTTAGAATTACGGGAAAAGTAAAGACGAGGTGGTGGCATCCAAATCCATAATCATTGTTCCGATTCAATCGACATTCTAAGCCATCTTCAAACTCAGATTTTCATTAAGCTTATTTACCAGGAGTTGAGATATACATATTTGGTCTAAATACCCACCTCTTAACTGCTTAGAAATCAAAGCGTTTCCCATTTGCCACAAACAAACACCGACTGAAGTGTTGAATGGTCCCACGTAAAGGTGAGAATTATTTTAACATTTTTAAAGCGAAAGTAGGTGTCGAAAAAAAGGACCCACTAGCAACCCTCCGCAAGAGCTGCATATGAATATTTTATAAACGGAATGAAAGGCAAATACGAGCAGGGAAAACAACGGACTGGCAAATTGTACAACAATGAACAAGTAGAGCAAGCGCATTACAAGGATATCACAGCAGCAGTGACCCAAAAGCATTAGCAAAGCAGTCATGGGGTTTTGAGAAGGGAATGGGAACGAAAATAGGACTGAGAATGGGATTGGCCCAACAAAGGCAAAAGCAGAACAAAGCCAGGATAATGGGATGGCAGTGTGTGTTATCTGCGTGGTTGTTGCACAAGAGCGTACTTCGAGTGAAATAGGAAACCCCGATGTAGATAAGATTTATAGCGACAGTCCAAACGCTTTTTCTACAAATTTCCTGACCAAAACTAACAAAAAAATCCGTCTTGTTTGTTCTCGCCCGACAGCTACGCAATGCCATCAAATGTCCTGGCTATTCGGACATCTATGGTCAGTACAATAAGAACTCGTCCTTCCAGAAGTGCGAAGAATGGAGCAACAAGCTGCAATTTCCAGCCGCCGGAGAAATGGATAAACAAGAACCGATCCAGAGTCGCACGCACAAGGTCTACGACAGCATGAAGAGTTTTCTGCAGCGAAAACTCTTCGCGCAACCCTCGCAAAAGGAGCAGATCTTGAACGAAGAACCCACGAGCGACTATGATGAGGTGTGTATAGTATAAACTTATGATCTATTAAGAACTAGTCTGCAATTAAGAAAGTAGGAATCCCTTTTTTGATGTGGGACCTATGTAAATTAGCATTTTGACATGTGGAACCATTTTGGGCTAATATTGTGGTTAACCCAAAAAGGTTTGCATAAGTGATAGCATGACTTTAGGAACCCTTTCTTTTGAATGGTAATTTAATTGGTTTTTTCTCCTCTTTCTTAGCAGGACCTTCTCGACTCCTCGTACCACGCCGACGCGGAAGAAGAGGAGGAGGAACGCGATGCTGACTGCAGCTGCAGCTCCACCGGCAGTAGCACCACCAGCAGCAGCCCCACCACGCCCAAACGCTCGCCCCAAAAGTCCCTGCTGTCCCTCAACTGCTGGCAGAGCAGTCAGCCGAGCAGTGACTCCAATCCCGAAGAGGAGGAGGACGCAGAAGAGGACTCCGACGCAGGCATCTCCGATTGCTGTCAACTTTTAGCTGAGAATTCGCCCAACACCATGAGCAAACGCCGCCGAGCCGCTCCACTCTTCACCAAATACATCAGCGCCAACCAGAACTCCGACGATGATGAGGACGAGGAGCCGGAGCTGCTGGCGTGTCCCTGGTACCAGCCCAGGATCACGGCAAAGGCAGCTTTGGAGCACCTGCAGCAGGCCACACCTGGCAGCTTTCTCCTGCGACGCAGTACTCCGCGGCATTTCGAACTGGTCCTGCGTCTCGAGAGGAGCAACAAGGTGAAGACCTATCCCGTGCAGTCCACCCGGAACCAGATGTACCGCCTGAAGGGAGCCAAGAAGCAGTTCACCAGCCTGAAAGCCCTGATCACGCACCATTCCGTGATGGCCGAACAACTGCCATTAGTGCTGGATATGCCCAGGGAGCGTCATGTGGTGAAGCCCTCATCAGTGCGCTATGCAGATGACTTCGAGCCGCTGGAGTCCCTGCAGCTACTGGGCATCCTGAGGAGTCTGCAGGCCAAGAGCATCGAGATATAGAAAATAATTATTAAACGGGGTTTCATGGGGCGGGCCAAATAATATCGAACTGCAAAGGGAACGATAGGTGAAAGTAATTAGGAATTTGTTTTGTTCTTTGCATAAGTACATGTGATATAGTTTACGGAATTGCGGGCTGAGCAACCCTCGAACTTAGTTAGGACTACCAACTAATTGAAATATTTTGTATCCGACATAGGGATAAGTTTTCTATTGTGAAAGTGTAATATGAATAAAAATCAAACAATGGCATTCAGCAAAAACGCAACCCTCGAGTTTAATGTATCCACGCCCCGGCAATCGATGGGCTTCCTGTTCTTCCCCGTCCACCAGGAACCCTCCTCCATGGATGAGGGTTGGCCAGAGAACGCTTCACTTACATGTGATTAGCGATTCGAGTGGCTCTCATTAATTTTTCAAGTGCGGCTCATGGAGCTCTCGACGCAATTCAACCGGCAACATGTTGCTGGCAACATTTTGGTGGCATGAATAATTAGAGCCACTATATTAGCTACAACATTCATGGGGATTCCCTTGTGCACTGCAAGGTGTCGACGTCGCACGCAACTGAATAACTTATGTGCACTTTCAGGGGCATTATCCTGATTTTTACCTGACACTAACCATCAGCACGAAAAAATGTTTGATTGTTGCAATGGATTGAATAATATTTCTTCACACTCTTAAAAACGACTTTCGCAATTATTCGACATTTTCGATGGGAATTTTCATCATAACTTTCATAAAAATGTTCAAAAAGATGAACGAATATCAGTTCTGTGCAGCTAATTACCAATGCTAACCATCCCTATCACTTTTTGACGGATTTGGGAAAATCATTATTTTTGTGGTTTTTTGCGTTTTTTGTAAGGGGTAACATCATCAAAATTTGCAAAAAATGGCAAAAAAATGGAATTCCCATTTTTGGACACAGTTCGATTGGAAATTTAAATACGAGTTCAACGAGGTATGGCATTCCATATTCAGACAATTATTTTTAAAGAAGTGGCTAAAAAACGGATTATTTTATGTCGGAAAATCCGAAAAACGACTTTGGCAAATATTCGATATTTTCGATGGGAATTTTCATCATAACTTTCATAAAAATTATCAAAAAGATGAACGAATATCAGTTCTGTGCAGCTAATTACCAATGCTAACCATCCCTATCACTTTTTGACGGATTTGGGAAGATCATTATTTTTGTGGTTTTTTGCGTTTTTTGTAAGGGGTAACATCATCAAAATTTGCAAAAAATGGCAAAAAAATTGAATTCCCATTTTTGGACACAGTTCGATTGGAAATTTAAATACGAATTCAACGAGGTATGGCATTTCATATTCAGACAATTATTTTTAAAGTAGTGGCTAAAAAACGGATTTTTTTATGTCGGAAAATCGGAAAAACGACTTTCGCAATTATTCGATATTTTCGATGGGAATTTTCGTCATAACTTTCATAAAAATGTTCAAAAAGATGAACGAATATCAGTTCTGTGCAGCTAATTACCAATGCTAACCATCCCTATCACTTTTTGACGGATTTGGGAAAATCATTATTTTTGTGGTTTTTTGCGTTTTTTGTAAGGGGTAACATCACCAAAATTTGCAAAAAATGGCAAAAAAATTGAATTCCCATTTTTGGACGCAGTTCGATTGGAAATTTAAATACGAGTTCAACGAGGTATGGCATTCCATATTCAGACAATTATTTTGAAAGTAGTGGCTAAAAAACGGATTATTTTATGTCGGAAAATCGGAAAAACGACTTTCGCAATTATTCGATATTTTCGATGGGAATTTTCATCATAACTTTCATAAAAATGTTCAAAAAGATGAACGAATATCAGTTCTGTGCAGCTAATTACCAATGCTAACCATCCCTATCACTTTTTGACGGATTTGGGAAAATCATTATTTTTGTGGTTTTTTGCGTTTTTTGTAAGGGGTAACATCATCAAAATTTGCAAAAAATGGCAAAAAAATGGAATTCCCATTTTTGGACACAGTTCGATTGGAAATTTAAATACGAGTTCAACGAGGTATGGCATTTCATATTCAGACAATTATTTTGAAAGTAGTGGCTAAAAAACGGATTATTTTATGTCGGAAAATCGGAAAAACGACTTTCGCAATTATTCGATATTTTCGATGGGAATTTTCATCATAACTTTCATAAAAATGTTCAAAAAGATGAACGAATATCAGTTCTGTGCAGCTAATTACCAATGCTAACCATCCCTATCACTTTTTGACGGATTTGGGAAAATCATTATTTTTGTGGTTTTTAGCGTTTTTTGTAAGGGGTAACATCATCAAAATTTGCAAAAAATGGCAAAAAAATGGAATTCCCATTTTTGGACACAGTTCGATTGGAAATTTAAATACGAGTTCAACGAGGTATGGCATTCCATATTCAGACAATTATTTTTAAAGAAGTGGCTAAAAAACGGATTATTTTATGTCGGAAAATCCGAAAAACGACTTTGGCAAATATTCGATATTTTCGATGGGAATTTTCATCATAACTTTCATAAAAATTATCAAAAAGATGAACGAATATCAGTTCTGTGCAGCTAATTACCAATGCTAACCATCCCTATCACTTTTTGACGGATTTGGGAAGATCATTATTTTTGTGGTTTTTTGCGTTTTTTGTAAGGGGTAACATCATCAAAATTTGCAAAAAATGGCAAAAAAATTGAATTCCCATTTTTGGACACAGTTCGATTGGAAATTTAAATACGAATTCAACGAGGTATGGCATTTCATATTCAGACAATTATTTTTAAAGTAGTGGCTAAAAAACGGATTTTTTTATGTCGGAAAATCGGAAAAAACGACTTTCGCAATTATTCGATATTTTCGATGGGAATTTTCGTCATAACTTTCATAAAAATGTTCAAAAAGATGAACGAATATCAGTTCTGTGCAGCTAATTACCAATGCTAACCATCCCTATCACTTTTTGACGGATTTGGGAAAATCATTATTTTTGTGGTTTTTTGCGTTTTTTGTAAGGGGTAACATCACCAAAATTTGCAAAAAATGGCAAAAAAATTGAATTCCCATTTTTGGACGCAGTTCGATTGGAAATTTAAATACGAGTTCAACGAGGTATGGCATTCCATATTCAGACAATTATTTTGAAAGTAGTGGCTAAAAAACGGATTATTTTATGTCGGAAAATCGGAAAAACGACTTTCGCAATTATTCGATATTTTCGATGGGAATTTTCATCATAACTTTCATAAAAATGTTCAAAAAGATGAACGAATATCAGTTCTGTGCAGCTAATTACCAATGCTAACCATCCCTATCACTTTTTGACGGATTTGGGAAAATCATTATTTTTGTGGTTTTTTGCGTTTTTTGTAAGGGGTAACATCATCAAAATTTGCAAAAAATGGCAAAAAAATGGAATTCCCATTTTTGGACACAGTTCGATTGGAAATTTAAATACGAGTTCAACGAGGTATGGCATTTCATATTCAGACAATTATTTTGAAAGTAGTGGCTAAAAAACGGATTATTTTATGTCGGAAAATCGGAAAAACGACTTTCGCAATTATTCGATATTTTCGATGGGAATTTTCATCATAACTTTCATAAAAATGTTCAAAAAGATGAACGAATATCAGTTCTGTGCAGCTAATTACCAATGCTAACCATCCCTATCACTTTTTGACGGATTTGGGAAAATCATTATTTTTGTGGTTTTTAGCGTTTTTTGTAAGGGGTAACATCATCAAAATTTGCAAAAAATGGCAAAAAAATTTAATTTCCATTTTTGGACACAGTTCGATTGGAAATTTAAATACGAATTCAACGAGGTATGGCATTCCAAATTCAGACAATTACTTATTGGCACTTTTTCTGTTAATTGATACATATTTCAAATATTTTACATTCTTTTGACATATGATGTAGATGGAATATCTACACACGTACTACACTTGCGCGCCCTCTAATAAACTGTATGCTCATAAAAGTATGCTATAGTTTCATTACATCTCCAAATTATGATTAATCCGAAAAGCAGACAGCTCAACGGAAAAAGGATAAAATAGCAGAGAAATAAATAAAGAAATTCGATAAAACTATTTGACAACATTGACATCAATTCCCAATGTCGGCACTTCGCTAAATCATATTCTGTTTAACCAGTGTGAAAAACAACATTTTTATGGCCCATGATTGATATTGGATATTATTTGCTTTGGTCAAATAAAGGCTATAATTCAAACGATGCACACTATTGGCAGGCAAGTGCATAAAATATTAAAATATAAACTACAAATATTCGCATTGACAGCAGCTGAACGACAAAAGCCGGACGGACTTTAACCCCAGAGGCCGTAAAAACAAAGGGCCATTAACAATAACGAGCGCTGCGAAAAACATTGGCAAACAAATTACAAATAAATGGAAACGCTGACAGCATTAATAACGTTACATCATTAATAAGCGAATCGAAATGAATACAATAACTGAAAGCGGAAAATGTAATAATTATGACAATAAATTAAGTGAACGTGGCGCTTGGTTTCTTTTAGTTATTTATTTATTTAACTGGCGCCACTGATTTCCGATTTAAATCGAAGCCACCCAATCATTAATTGCCTGCCAATCTCACCGACCACAACATGGGAAAATTTCAATAAAATTGTCTTCAAAAATACCAGAGCAAACTGAAATGGAAATGCCATTGACATCACAATTACTTGGCAGGCAGGCAGATACACATTATACACTTTAGTGTATAAACAAAACAATCCGAGTTCCCATCAGATTATACTTTCTGAGAAACGGCACACGATGGCATTTAATGTAAGCTTTGCAGAGGAATCTATCCAAAATTTCTAGCATCCTCAGCCTTTTTGGCCAGCTTTTCCTTTTGGTTCTGCGCACTTGGACGTAATGGAATTCAAATTGAATTTCAAAAGGGAATTTCAAACCGGAAGTGTGTGTCCAGGCATATGGGGAAATAAACATTCAGCCTTCTCGCTAATGAAGTGCTTTCATCTGCAATGTATGCTGACTTTTTGCCCCTTTCACTGCAACTGTTTGCATAATTTTTGCACGAGTTTGTTTAGCTTTTCAATGCTGACAGCTGAAAAGGCAACAAAATGGAGAGTGTCGCCTGTAAATTTCATTTTCATTTGTATATGCCTCACTAATTACGAAACGGTTGCAATAATTCCAGAGAAAACATCCAAAATGCTCCCTTGGGAAAAAGTACACACAAACAAGGGCTCATGCGACTGGT